TGCAGGTGAGTAGCCACCCTTTCCATGAACTATACGACCGTTATTGTGTTGATCGGCACGCGCTCAGATAGTTTGCTGCCCTCAACCTGTCTCTCACTATTTTCAAATTAAGTGTTATTTTACTTCATAGACTTGCACAATCAATAAAGATCATGCCATTAAACTGTTATGAATTCAAGACTACTGTAGTTCTCCATTTGTACTGTTTTCAGGAGGCCTACATAAGCTTAGTGTGTAAACAATAGCTTTGGAATGAAATGTTCTCTCTCTCTCTCTCTCTCTCTCTCTCTTTCTCTCTCTCTCTCTCTCTCTCTCTCTCTCTCTCTCTCTCTCTCTCTCTCTGTGTGTGTGTGTGTGTGAGTGTCTCTGTCTCTCGTCCTCCCTCTCTCTCTCTTTCTCTGTATAGATTACATAACTGTATGATCCATTGACAAGGCTCTTGTTAAGGCAAATGTGCAGCAGTGCACTGGCACACACACAAAAACACCTTTCGCTCCTTGTGGTTTGCGATACAGACCTTCTGTTCATCAACGTCGTAGTTGTAAATTGGCCTGATCCGTGCATGTTCCCACAGTGCTCAGACTGTCACCACTGTCAGAGGCATTCGAAGGAAACCAGTGGCCTCTTCAAGGGAGACAGTGAGCCCATGATCAGTCCATGGCTGATGACACCTCTCGGAAATCCTCGTTCTCGCAGAGAAAGACAGTGCTATTATTCACATAGCGCAACTCGAGCGACGATTGAGAGGTGCATTGGCGTGGCAAAACTGTTCTTTCATTGCTTGCGAGCTGGTCAACGACTCAAACCAAAGAAAGCTTGCAATGTCATTGTTGTTTGCCTCCTGCTGCACAACAGAGCTAAGCGATCTCATCTTCCTTCACCACCTCCAGATTCTTCAGAGTCTGAATCAAGTTCCAGCAGCTCTGAAATCATTTTTTAAAAATAGCCATACTCGTTTTCTTTAAATCACTGTAGAAATAATGAATTCCTTTGCTTAGAGTTTTTGACCTTTAAGAAATAGAATTGGATTATGAAATCGTGCTGCGTCGGACTATTTTGACGGATGGTGAAAAGGTGGGTCGTTCCTGTGACTTGATTTCCCCATTCGATAGAGCTGGGGCAATTGGTCATATTAACACTTATTTTTTTCTCTCTCTTTCTCTCTCCTTCTATCTCTCTCTCTCTCTCTCTCTCTCTCTCTCTCTCTCTCTCTCTCTCTCTCTCTCTGTAGCTCATTCTCTCTCTGTGTCGCTCTCTCTTGCACCTTTTCTCTTTCCCTCCCTCCCTCTCTCTCTCCCTCCCTCTCTCTCTCTCTTTCTCTCTCTCTCGCTCTGTCGCTCTCTCTTTCTCCTTTTCTCTCTCTCTTTCCCTCCCTCCCCCCCCCCTCTCTCTCTCTCTCTCTCTCTCTCTCTCTCTCTCTCTCTCTCTCTCCCTCTCTCTCTCTCTCTCCCCCTCCTTCCCTTCTTTTGTTTGTTTGTTTATATGGTAATTATCCCTCTTTTCGTTCTTTCTTCAATAAATTTGTTACTCACTTGGAAGAAAATATACCACTAGAAATCTGGCGATAAAGAATTACCATTACTCCTTTTTGAGGGGTTGTTGGTTGTTTGTGTTTTTTTGTGTTTTTGTTTGTTTGTTTGTGATGTTCTTTTTATAGCAAAAGCAGCAGATCAACACAACAACGGTCGTATAGTTCATGAAAAGCGAGGCAAAAAGACAAAAGAGCCAGGTTTTTCCCATTGCAAAATGACTGAGTGTGCTACGTCATAAAAGTGGCAAACACTTGTTAGGTTTCCTGTTTTAAAACTTTTTTTTTTCCAAAGAGGTCTTGAAAGATCAGACGGTGCAGTTATGTTTTAAATATCGGTCAGTCCCCTAGCATTGGCAACTTTTTTTGACACGAAGGGTCAAACTTCTGAGATAAAGTGTTAATCTACAAGTTAGATAGCTTGATTTTTCTCTAGATAATATTAGTAAAATTGCAGACACCACTGTTTCGCTAATTTTATGATTTTGAACTTCTTCTATCTCGTTCTCTTTTCTTCTTCTTCTTCTTCCTCGTTCTCGTGTTTTTGAACAAATGCTTTTCTTTTCAACATTGGAATGTCGAAGAGATATGCAGTGACTGGCAAAATTCTGGGGTCCCTTTTAATGAGACGCTTCTCCCATACCCTGAAAATCACAATCCACAAATCAACTTGGAGAAACCTGACTCTGCGCCGTAAATTCTACATTATGGACGGACTGGCTGAGGAAGATGAAGTTCAAAGGGAATAAAGTGTATGGATTAAACGGCCCTGACAACCCTTTTAAGTTAATTCAGAGGCAGGACTTCCGAAGTTAAATCCCAATCCGCATAATTAGGTTATCTCAAAGGCGGTACAGCTGAATTTAATGTCTTTCTCTGATAGGATAGAGCCAAATGGGTCGAGAGTCCCAAAAACTCCATAAAAAGGACCCTAATTCAAGAGTATCCAATATGAGATTTGAGCCAGGGCCATTCGCTCCTTAGTCCAGCATGACTCCAACTGAGCTAACGGAGCACCATTTTCCTAGGAAATACGTTTAAAAATAAATTCAAGTAAGAGTTTTACTGCATATTTTGCAACATGATTAAATTATAAGTGAGGGCATGTAAGTGACGAACACTAGACGTGTTACAAGAGAGTAACAAACGCATTACAGAACATGTGTGGAGGAAATGACGATGGATGTTTGGTTGAAAAGAATGAACAAACCACACGACAGCACCCGCCAACCACCTACAGGAGAATTACAACAGTTGCGTGATGGAAATACTGAGCTGTTTGATAATGTGGCACCCATTAGATTTTACAAAAGAAACAGCAGCGCTTATTTAACCCGTCGTATTTGCTTTAAATTATAGTAGTATTGTTTGCTTATGACAGGACTCTGTTGCTTAAAGTGTAACGCTAAGGCTCTTTGCATTTGCACACAGAAGACCCGAGTTCGATTCCAGAGTAGTGAGAATGTATATCAAGTATTTCGGTAGTTTTGCAGAGATGTTTTATCCCTCTCAGCCCGGGCTGGTCCTGGCAGCAATGTTAAGATCTTGCCACTTAAATAATGTAAAGTCGTGTCGATGCAAAGACCATCAGTTAATGATTTGTAAGGCATCGTGGTGAAATTATGTGCTCTTCAAAATATGGATATCAAAGAAATCTGCATTTTTTGGCCTTTTGGGCAATTTTTTTCGAATTTGGTTTTTTTTTTCGCTTAACACTTTTTAATCCCATTAATTTAAACACATTTATGTGTGGATTTTCCTGAAAAACCTGGTCAAAGGATCCAAAAATAAAAATTTGTAGTTTCCAAGGACTCTCAAACCTGGTAGTCACCAAACTTTGGCGGCCATTTTCTCACTAATTTTTCCTCTGAAACCAGACGACCCTACCTCGCTCAATTGCAATTATCTCGACTTGTTTTCAAGATAGATTGGTAATTTTTTCATCTAAAGCAAGACAAAAGAAGTAGCTGTAAGATTATATCAATAACTCCACAAGTCCAAAATTAACGGGCGCCTGATTCCGCCACGTCATGACACAATCTTATTGAAAGAAGCTCCAGCCATTCAGGGTCAGAAGCTATATTAAGCCTGCTTTTCCTCTTTTTGTGGATATATTATTAATATGTTTGGGGGGGGGTTGATAACAAAATGCACCCTAAATCTATAATAACTAAGTTAGAATTAATTGCCTTTACGTGTAATTCTTGTATTTCTTCGATTGGCTTCTTCTTCTTGCCATAAGATCTTTTAAAGCAATATGCTTCACCATCCATGATTTTTAAAAAAATAAGTGTTAGTAGCCCAATACTGTATCAAACAAGGCAGATTCTTACCACCAGAATTACAAAGTTCTATCTGCTCAGTGTCTAGCTTTGAATTTTTAAAAATGACGTTCAAAATTTTGAGTTTTACAACATGTCAAGCGTTTTCGAATGCAATTCTTTAAATATCTTGATAACGACTCGGGAAAGTCTTACGATTTTGATAGAGCAGATAGCACATTTAGTTTCTGATGGTCTTAGTAGCTTAAAACTATATATTTTAATATTCTATTAAATTTCTTTTATATAACTTAAAAATTTTCTAGGGTTTACGATGTCAAAAAGGGTCTTAATATCTTTACATTTAAAATATTTGTTACAAACATCATTAAATTCGACACATTACGTTAGGATGTGCCGAACTGTGAAATTTGTGTTGCACGCCACGCAAAAAGGAGCTTCCTCTCCTTCAGTAGCTTCTTTTGTTTCCAGGCTTCACATTTGTGAAAGAAAATCAGATATCTACCCCAGAATTACCAAGTTTTATCAGCTCAGTAACTATTTTTGAGAAATTTGACGTAAAAAATTTTGAGTTTCACAAAACGTCAAGCTTTTTCGAAAGTAGGTCTTTGAATATCTTGATAACGACCCCGAATTATCTAACGATTTTGATAGAGCAGATAAAACACTTGGTTTCTGACCTCATTGTCTTAATAACTCAAAACAGCCAAAACAAAAAATGCAATGTGTTGATTCCTTAAAACTTTAGTCTGACAAAAGACAAAACTGATTGCATGTGAGTGTGACGGAGCAATACAATAGCTCAGCTGGCAGCATACTGGACCACAAAGCTTGTGCCTTGGTTTGAACCCCAGATTTGGCGTTCTTGAAGTCGACTCGTTTTTGAGGAGCTTTTCAAGGCTCTTTACACATTCGGATCAGTTTAATTAATTCATTGGGACAAAAAGAATCCGATAAACACAGTTACTGTGCTGACAGTAGACTACGCACACACACACACATACACACACACACACACACACACACACACATACACGCACGCACACGCATAAACACAATCACATATAGACACGTACACGCACAAACACAAAAACTCTTCTAAATATAATAATAATACGCATACACAAACACACTAAAATACACACAAACACTCAATTGACATAATAATTAAATTAACAAAATGATGCCTGTGTTTTGGTATAGCAAGTCTTTATTTAGATATTACTGTGTGGAATTTCGCACACAATAGCTGGGAAATGCTCTGCGTCGGCCTTGAAGCAAGGATAATCATTCATATCCTTCGAACGTATCCTCATATTCATACAGTTTTCTCCCCCACCCCCGCTAGGCTCAGGACCGTGCCAGACTAAGGTAGACACTTTACCACCAGAGGTCATGAACCTCCATGTCCCCTCATGACCTTCGTCTGTGGCCCCGACCCAAGCGCCTCCAAGCCCCCCGAGAGAAGAAGTGTGATTGTACAGAAAATCAGTAACGAAGTCGAACTCTTGTCGGTCGTTGATCTCCACAAGATATCCTCCATACAACTGACAGAGGCGATTAGCTTCCCAGGCGTTTCCATATCGTTGTTCGGTGACAAAGTAGTAACTACCTTTGTAGTTGGCCGACGCTAGTGTGATGGCGTCTTTGGAGTTGTCTACTTGGGACTTCAGTCCATTCAGTGTGGCTTCCAAGTGTGTCACCTTATTCTCCAGCCCTACGTATTTATTGAGCTTGATTTCCATGTCTTCCACCTTGATGTTCATTTCTTTGATTGTTTCAAGGAGCATATCAGTGCTGACTCTGAAATGTGTATAATAATAATAATAA